AAATTTCCACTTTTCTTCTCGGAGCAAGTTTTCTATATCACTGGTATTTTATCCTCCACTTTTTACAGAAAAGATTTCTTTAAAGATGTTGAAGAAGTTGTTCGTGTTCGACTTATTGTAAACCACAAGGGTAAGCATGTGGGCTATGGCTTTGTTGACTTTGCTTCTGCTAACCAAGCAAAGAAGGTAAGACTAGTTTTGTAGTCATTTGAAATGTAGTGTATACTTATGATGAAAATATACAAGTAGTTATTTGAAAGTATGATTGCTGATTAAATATTTTTTACTATAGGCGTTGGAAAAGAAGAATGGCGAATATTTGCATGGTCATAAGATTTTTCTTGAAGTCGTTAGGACAGCTCCAGACCCTCCACGACCCAAGTAAATTGATTTTCCATGTTATGAAGATTTGTTTCTTATTGCTAGAGTTTTGATACCATTACAGAAGACTTAACGCTACTATTTTTGTTAATTAGGTTCAACCTTGCAGAGAAGCTTTGGTAAGGGATTTAACTCTTTGCCTTTTGAGTTTTGTTATCAAGAGCACATTGTGTGAAGTTTTTGGTATACATGGAGAGTCACAAGGGTTTCTGATATTTCAGTTACGAAGACTACCTCCGACGACAAAACCTTGTGACAGAAGAAGATGAGACAGTGGAAGGACTTGATGAAACTCCCGGTCTTTTTGAGGTACCTGTTCTTATGAAATTCAATATATGTCAGGTTCAGACATTTAATATCAGAACTGTTGCCACAAAGTCGAAAGATGACTTATTTTTTTGGGATGAATCTACTTTTGTTGTTATGCAATTTGTGTTCTTTCTCCTTAAGAGTCGGGCTAACACACTTGGCTGTTATATTCAGGCAGTTGCTGTAAGGAAAAAGACGCTCTTTGTTTCCCGTCTCTCTCGCGAAGCTGAAATATCAGATATGTAAGTACCACCTTTAATTTTCTCTTTCATTCTTGGAGCAACTTTTTCATGACTAATATTTTATCCTCTATTTTTTACAGCATCAATTTCTTTAAAGATGTTGGAGAAGTTGTTCATGTTCGACTTATTGTAGACTACACGGGCAAGCATGTGGGCGATGGCTTTGTTGAGTTTGCTTCTGCTAACGAAGCAGAGAAGGTAAGAGTAGTTTATTGTAATGATGAAAAGTATTAAAGTAGTTTATTTGAAAGTACGATTGCTGATTAAATCTTTTATACTGTAGGCACTGGAAAAGAAGAATGGTGAATATTTGCACCATCATAATATTTTTCTCGATGCGGCTAACAAAGCTCCATACCCTCTACGACCCAAGTAAACTGATTTTTCATGTCATGGAGATTTGTTTCTATAACACTGGTTGTAAATTATTGTAAATTACAGAAGACTAACGCTTTTTATTTCTGTTAATCAGGTATTGTATAGATCACAAGGTTTGGTAAGGGATTTAACTGTTTACCTTTTTGAGTTTTGTTATCAAGAGCACTTTGGGAGACGTTTTTGATATTCCAGGTATGAAGACTACCTTCGACGAGAAAGCCTTCTGGTAGAAGAAGATGAGGCAGTGGAAGGCTGTGATGAAATTCTCGATTTTATTGAGGTACATGTTCTTATTTTCTTCAGAATATGTCAAGCTCAGAAGAAATTCTTAGCGTTTAATAATAGAACTGTTGCCGCAAAGTCGAAGGATGGCTTATTCTAGGGATGAATCTACTTTTGTTGTTATGCAATTTAAATTCAGGAAGTTGCTTCAAGAAAAAAGACGCTCTTTGTTTCCAATATCCCTTACAAAACTAAAATACCAAAGAACAAAACTACATTACCAAAGATGTAAGTACCTTTAATTTCGTCTTTCGTTCTTGGAGCAAGTTTTTCATGACTGATATTTTGTATATCCTCCATTTTCACAGCATCGATTTTTTCAGTCATGTTGGACAAGTTGTTTGTTTTCGACTTATTGTAGACCACAATGGTGAGCATGTGGGCTGTGGCTTTGTCGAGTTTGGTTCTGCTAAGGAAGCAGAGGAGGTGAGAGTAGTTTATAGTAATAATAATGAAAAGTATTCAAGTAGTCATTTGAAAAGTAGTATTATTTGAACGTATGATTGTTGACTGAATCTCTTATACTGTAGGTGCTGAAAAAGAAGAACGGTGGATATTTTTTGAAGGATCATAAGATTTATCTTGACGTGGCTGAGATAGCTCCATACCCTCTCCGACCCAAGTATATTGATTTTCCATATGGAGATTTGTTTCTCTAACTTATTGCTATAGTTCTTGATGTCACACAGAAGATTAACGCTATTATTTTTGTTAATTAGGTACAACCTTGCAGAGAAACTTTGGTAAGGGATTTAACTTTTTGCCTTTTGAGTTTTGTTATGAAGAGCACTTTGGGAGACGTTTTTGGTAATACATGGAGAGGTGACAAGAGTTTTCGATATTCCAGGTCGAAGGTAGAAAGCCATTTGATAGTAGAAGAAGAAGCAGATGATGATGAAGAAGAAGGAGAAGAAGAAGAAGAAGAAGAAGAGGAAGAAGAGGAAGAAGAAGAAGAAGCAGCAGCAGAAGCAGAAGCAGAAGAAGATGATAATTTGGAGACCAAACCGAATCTGAAGAAACGTGAGGTACCTATGATTGGCGGATTCCGTGGTAAGAAGGTTATCTTCTGCTTTGACGACTGATAGAAGAAGAGTAAGCTCTTTGGTGTTTCTTATCTTCTAGTTAAGTTTTTGTCTGAGTGTAAGTTGGAATATGCATAATTTTGAATGGTTTGGTGTTAAATCATTATATGCCTTCATTATTTACCTAAGTAAGAGCTGTATATTTGAACTGATTTGGTTGACGAAACCATTATCTCCGGAGAGACACAAATTTACTTGTCTCAACTTGATTTGGTGATTATTATGTCTTTCATAAGTCTTTCACTGCTTTCAACAAATTTCACTTCTTTGTGCTTAGACAAAATTATATATAGGACTTTGCTTAAAATGGGAGAATTTCAAGCTTATATAGGACTTTGCTTAAAATGTTTTGGGCTAAAACTGGGCTGGCCCTATTACACAACTTATTTTTCTCTTCTTTAATTGAAAACGATGTCGTCTCATTCTTTTCTTTTCTTCTTCGATCGTGAGAACTAGGCCTGGGCGTTCGGTTTAGTCGGGTTATTCGGTTCGGTTTGTTCGGTTTCTCGGTTTTTCGGTTATTTCAAAATCCTGCCGAATTGAACCGAACAAAAATTCGGTTCGGTTCGGTTCGGTATTCGGTTTATTCGGTTCGGTTATAGGCTTTTAAATCTCTTCCGAATTGACCCGAAATTTAATTTACTTCGGTTTATTCGGTTTTCTTTCGGTTAACCGAAAATAAAAACAAGCCCACATAAAAATTTACAAGCCAATTAACATATTTACAACTAAAATAACAAGCTCAGGAAAATTATAAGTCCAATGTCACATTTACAACAAACCCAAATACATTAAAAATTAAGTTTTTCGATCAAATGCAAGGCTGCCGACGGTGAAGACGACATGGTCTGAAATTGCGAGGCTCCTTCAATCTTCACAGATTCACAATCATTCAATAATCATCATAAACCATCAATATAAACATAAATTGATCAATCATCATCATAAACCAACAATAGTATAAGGAAGAGGAACCTTTAAAGACTTGAGGAGGTTCTCGACGTTGAAGGATCTGGTTCTCGACGTTCCAAGAAGGATGATTAGAAATTCAAATCCCCATTGATGCAAAGCCGTGTCTTGTTCTAGGAGAGAAAGAAGAGTAATCGGCTACAAGTGGAAGAGGAGAGAGAGGCTTAGATCTAGAAGCGGCTGCAAGAAGACAAGGCTTATTAGATTTAGGTTTTCTTCGATAAAAATGGGACTCGGTTTATGTATTTAATAAGTTATTGGACTATTTTATTAATTTTAAATGTAAGTTTGTTTTGATGGGTTTTTAACCAAATAGTTATAATAATATGGGCTGGGCTTTTGATTGTTGTTTGTTTATAATTTTAAGTTGAAAGCCCAGCCATATTAAATATTAGGGTTTTTGTTTATCGTCTTCATTGTTTGTTTCACGCGGCGGCATGATGAAGAACAGAACAGAGTAACAGACCGGTGAAGGAGAAGCATAACGGTGAAAAAAGAGTGAAGAAGGAAAAAACCGAATAACCGATCGGTTTTAGCTTGCCGAACCGAACCGAAACGGAAACCGAATTTCCAAAATAATTTCGCCGATCGGTTTTGCTCTTCTCTAATCCTCGGTGCCGATAACCGAAACATTCGGTTTCCTCGGTTCGGTTTTTTCGGGTTTGACCGAATGCCCAGGCCTAGTGAGAAGCTATAAGAAAGGGTTCGATTGCTCTCTCTATATCTGGGGTTCAGTGTTCGTCTGGAAGAGACCTGGAAAAGGTGAAAACCGTTTCTGGAAGAACATTGGGTTGGGTTCGTGTTCGTTTCTAGTCCCTTAAAGGTGAAGTGTGTTCGTGTTCGTCTCCAATTAACGATCTGGGTTGGTGTTTTCTTATACGTATATTGGTGGGTTCGTGTTAGATTATCGAAATTTTAGATTCGAACTTGTGTGTCTCTGGAAAAATTGAATTTTGGAAAAATTGAATTCTGGAAAAATTGAACTTGTGTCGCTTGTTTACGATTGCTTCGCTTTTTAGTATGGGAGTTTGGTTTAGAGCTTTTACGACTGTTGGATTTGGTGTTTTGGTTGTGATTTTGCATGCTTTGATTAGAGTAATGGATGATCTTATGATCGTTCTCTGTGGTGTCATGGTGTGTTGCAGGTGATTTGTCTGATTGGTTTAGTTTTGGCTTTATTTTCGAGCTTATTCATTGGTGCTAGTTTCATTCTTAAGAAGAAACGTCTCTAGAGAGCTGGTGCTTCTGGTCTCTAGTGAATAAAGAAGCAACAGATTAACGTTAAAACGGAGGGTGAATTAATTTCTTAAGAATCTTAAACCAAACCGGAACCAAATTGGCATTTTTAAGTTGTGATAGGGCTCAGACGATCGGAGACGGTGGATCAACGCTGGGGAGAGTGATGGAAGAGCTTCCGAGCTTTACCGTGAGTCAGCGCGAGCAATTTCTGGTGGAGAACGATGTGTTCGGGATCTATAACTACTTCGACGCCAGCGACATTTTTACTCAGAAATACCTGTAAGCTTGCGGATTTTGATTTTCTAAGTTTTTCTTCATGATCTGATGAATTGTAGTTGCGTTGTGAAAGAATTTCGTCGAGAGATGAATCTTATTGATATGGATGTTGTTGTTCCTAGGATTGAGATACAGCGAGATAAGCAATTGGATTATCTGATGAAAGGCTTAAGGCAGCTAGGTCCGCAGTTTTCGTCCTTAGATGCTAAGTAAGTGATACATCATACATGACGCTTAGCTTCTTGTTTTCATGAATTTGTTAGTTCATTTTGTCCCGTCATTGTGGAGAGAATGAAGCACCTTTGGATTTTTGCCAATAGATTAAGTTTGATTTTGGCTTTTTGGATTTTGGAACAGTCGACCTTGGCTTTGTTACTGGATTCTTCATTCAATTGCTTTGCTTGGGGAGTCTGTGGATGATGAATTAGAAAACAATGCCATCGACTTCCTTGGACGCTGCCAGGTTAGGCTCAATTCCTTTTGCTTTGTACCCAATCATGGAAACTCTTCATATTGCTCATACATTCTTCTTGTCTTTCTCCTCCTTTTAGTTCACGTTTTCTTTTCCCGTTCCTATTATTGTTATCTGTTATTGTTCATTATGTACTTAGTTTGCTTTCGCATGTCGCTTGTCAGGGCTCTGATGGTGGATACGGTGGTGGTCCTGGCCAAGTAAGTATGTCTGTTTGTTGAAAATGTGTAGATCACTATCATTTCATGAAATTGGAAACTTAAAATGGAGACCAGATCGTTTTATTTTGTTAGATCTCTTTGGTTTAGTTCAATTTTTTGGTTGTGAATCTTTCCAAACATGGCAGAGAAAGTTAGGATATATAAATTTGTTTTAGCCTCCCTTTTCTTCTCTCTGTTCTACTAGTAATGGTGATCTTTTTTTCCCAGCTTCCACATCTTGCAACAACTTATGCTGCAGTGAATGCACTTGTTACTTTAGGCGGTCACAAAGCCCTTTCTTCAATTAATAGGTGGTGCATTTTTTTTCTTTATGGTCAGTTTCTTTTTATTAAGAGTCTAGTGATGTTTCCTCTAGAATACTTACATTCTGACTCATTCTTCTTTCAGAGAAAAAATGTCTTGTTTTTTAAGAGGGATGAAGGATGCAAGTGGAGGTTTCAGGTTCGATTCTCTTTCTTTTTGGACTTCTTAAAGGCAGAACTTCTACTGACAGCACACTCCCTATGCATTTGTATCGGTGTTAATGTCATACCTTCAGTCATGTTGGTTTTTCAGTTCTTGCTTAACTCTACTTACTCATTGATCGTTAGGATGCATGATATGGGAGAAATGGATGTTCGTGCGTGCTACACAGCAATTTCGGTGAGTTTTACCAACTCCCATTTTTATTGTTCTTTCTTCTTGTGGACACCAAAACTTTATAGGCTTAATGAGGTCAACAAACTCAGGACCCATTATGCTATGTTTCTTCCAGTTTCATGGCTTAAACGTCACATTATGATATTGTTAATGATCTTATCATTTGCACTTGTGCCTCGTATTGAGATTTACACATCTTGCATCCTATGGTTGGTTTCTCCCCTGATATGTTTGATTTCTCTTGTGACATAGATTGCAAGCATCCTAAACATTTTGGATGATGAACTCACCCAGGGCCTAGGAGATTACATCCTGAGGTGGCTTTTCATATTACTTTTATCTCGCATTATATATAGCTGAACTACTGTTATATAGTTGTAAGTTAATGAATTTATTGATTTCCCTTGCAAAGCTCTTTTAACTCGCTTTATATTGAGCAGTTGCCAAACTTATGAAGGTGGCATTGGAGGGGAACCTGGCTCCGAAGCTCATGGTGGGTATGGTCTCCTACTTACTTCCATTATGTTGAGGCTTTGATCAAATTTGTGTTCTGCTTCTCTCTTCCTTGATGACATGGTTATTGATGGTTAAGTATACTTATTTTCCTGAAATATTGATTTGTCACCTATTGCTTTGCTTATTACCAAGTTATTTTTTGTTTAGGTACACCTACTGTGGGTTGGCTGCTATGATTTTAATCAACGAGGTCAACCGTTTGAATTTGGATTCACTAATGGTAACATACAATGCTTTTTGGAGATGATTAATGGAGTGCCTTTTATTTTCCCTGAGAGATATTTTTCTTACCAAATAATTTCCTTATGATTCTAGAATTGGGCTGTACATCGACAAGGAGTAGAAATGGGATTTCAAGGTAGGACTAACAAATTAGTCGATGGTTGCTACACATTTTGGCAGGTTAACTTTCTATCTTTTAGGATTATTATAGGCCCTACTCCAAAATTCTCCTCCATTGTTCACCGTTGTTGTCTTTTTTTTTTTTTCCTTTTATATGTTAAACAGGCAGCTCCTTGTGTTCTACTACAAAGGTTATATTCAACCAATGATCATGAAGTCCATGGATCATCACATATATCACAAGGGACAGATGAAGATCATGAAGAACATCATGCTCATGATGAAGATGACCTTGAAGACAATGATGATGATGATTCTGATGAGGGCAATGATGAAGGTACTCACTCAATTTTCTCAACCATCAAGTCTATCTGATATTCAAAACACAACTGAATTTTAGTTAGCTTATATTCAGATTCAGCGAATGGTGACGGAATCCATCATACATCCAATTACATTAACAGGAGAGTGCAACCGATTTTTGATAGCCTCGGCTTGCAGAGATATGTACTCTTGTGCTCTAAGGTTAGTCCAGAACAAAACATCCAGTCAAGTTAACACTTAAACATTTGTATAACTCACGAGAACATACACTTGTATGCGCAGATCCCTGACGGTGGATTCAGAGACAAGCCGAGGAAACCCCGTGACTTCTACCACACATGTTACTGCCTAAGCGGTTTGTCTGTGGCTCAGCATGCTTGGTTAAAAGACGAGGACACTCCTCCTTTGACTCGCGACATTTTGGGTAGCTACTCGAATCTCCTTGAACCTGTTCACCTCCTCCACAACATTGTCATGGATCAGTACAATGAAGCTATCGAGTTCTTCTTTAGAGCAGCATGACCCGTTCTTGCTAATGTATGGGAAACTCCTAACATAAGAGTTTTCGTAGTGTTGTAACTTGTAAGATTTCGACAGAAGCTTCACTAATTTAACCTTTAAACAAAACCTATTGTTTTTTTTTAATGCGTATTTACTATTTGTCATATCTTTGGTCAAATTACGATTCAAAGAATTTGATGATTGTTGAACATCTTGCATCCTTTTGACATTGGTTTTTAGAGATTCTAACACACTCGTGTAGTTGAAACACATGGATTCGCTGTCGGGATTTTCCGACGAGTTTGTATCCAATATTATTTGAATTTCCAATGTTTAGAAATAAACAAACAAAATAGATCAACCAAAATAAACATATCTTTTGTTTTTCAAATTTTGTCAAGATCTAACGAAATTCAACAAAATCAAGATTCACAACTTAAAATACCCTCCTCACAATGAAATGAAATGAATCATGGCTAAGCCACGTAATTACATCAGTACTTGAGCTTTGATTCCATACGTTCTTATTTGGAAGTTTTCAAATGCTTCAGAAACTGCTTCTACCTGCAAATAATATTGCAAACCAAAATAACTAAAAACGTTTGTGGTTATATAAAATTAACATGAATGTAATCATAAAGAGAATTAATCACATACCAGTTCTGGTTTCTTGACATAAACTCTCACTATCATTTCTTGATATGTTGTTGGTAACAAGTGACTAACTCTGTCCTCCGGTATCACAAACTTCTCTGCACTATCATAATCCTGTAAATACCATAAATAAAATCAATTGGTTTATTGAGATTTTCTCTTTTATTTTCAAGTTTTACTCTTTTTACATATTTAGAAGCAAATTTGTATAACAAGAACAAAGACTTTTATGTATGTATGTACCTTATAGAAGTTGATGCTGATCAAGTAGTCAGATCCAACACAAAGATAAGTTGGTTAGTACTTTAATGATAAAACAAAGAGGCTAAACTGTAGTTTGTTTACCATTCAAGAGGATTTTCTCTCCCACGAGTTAAATCAATCTTGACGTTTGTAACAGCGATATCTTCTTCTTTTAGTGTCAAGCTTGTGTGCTTCTGTTAACTCAAAAGTGATATAAGTATGGCAATGGTCCTCACTGTAAATAAATAGTTTCCTAAGTGTTAAAGATTACAAACCTGAGAACAGATGATATCTTGAGCAGTGACAGCTTTGAAATGATCGATTTTGTCCTTTGGTACCGCATACTCGTTACAGAACTACAAGTAAAAAAAGTCTTTAGCTTCTGCAGAAGGAAAATTCTTAACCTAATTAAGCACAAGAAATGTATAAGTTACTTGGTATAACTGCCTTCTGCGAAGGCGGAGTATCAGCTCTTTAGCTTCTGCAAGTTCTGGATCCGAAGCTATTTCAATCTTTTTGAGGATTGTATCATCTAACTGCATTTGTGGAGAACAAAAAATGATGTAAAATACAGGCAAAAGAGTTTTGATGCTTAAGTAAGGGAAAGATTTATGTACCTTCCAGTATTGAGAAGGATCATTAATCATAGAAGAAATCTCCAAGAAATTGTTGGCTTTGACCATTGCATCTACTATCATAAGCTCTATGGCCTGCAAATGAATGGAAAGAAACAAGTGAAAAGAAAGAGAGAATAATGACAAGGAACAGAGAGAATGATACAATACCATTTTTTTGGGATGCGTGTAGACTGTTCGACAAAGATCAGCTCGAGTTGCAAATAACTTGTGTACAGTACGATCTGCAAAACAATTCACCAGGTTTTACGTAGACGCAAATGCAAATGCAGAGAATATATATATATATATATCAGGTGGACAAAACTCACATTCCTTGGCGGGATAGCAGATTTCATTGTCTATGACTCTCATTGGTTCTGTCAGTCTAGAAACTTCTAAGAATCAGTGATTAGCAAAAACTGAAAATGACTATAGAGTTGTATGAAGTCTGAAGACCTTTGAAACTGAAAATTGCACCCCAGTCCACAAGCTCGAGAATCGCGGATAAGGTAGTCAAACCTATAAAATTTATCTAAGCATCATGATGAGTGAAAAAAGAAAGAAAGAAACAAACAAACTAAGGAATAGAATAGAATTACTTGTCGACATCAATCCCATTACGACCATTAGCAACAATGTCATACAAGAAACGTTTCTCTGCGTTATTCTGCAAATTATATGCAAAGCATAGTTAGTTAATGTTCGACTAGAAAAGAGAATATGACCGTTAGAAAACTTACTTTGAGCTCTGAAAGTTCAGTACTAGCTAATATCATGTCCTGTTATTTGAGAAAATCATCAGCAAAGATTTGTAATAAAGACTAAAAATAATGTCACAGTTTCCAGTTTCAAAGACTAGAGGTCATTTGAGAAAGAAAATAACCTTTACTCTTTTCAGCATTTGTGCATCAACATCGATGTGATGTGTATCAACTATGTGGTCAATCATGTTTATAGACATGGACTCATGAGACCTGCATACACGAACTGGCATATAAAGACCTAGAGAGAGAAGAATTTAAGGCATATTTCTTATATCATATCAAGTAACACCGTATTGATCTTTTCAAGGAATGTGCAACATACCACTGACAGCCACTTATGACCTTTGGGAGGAACTCACGCTCAAACATATGACTGAAAGGCCCATGTCCAATATCATGGAGAAGTCCTATACATATACAAAACAAATATCAGAAATTGTATCTAAATGAATAATTCAGTCAATGAGCTAACAATAGTTACCAGCAAGTCTCACAGTCTGAAGATCATGATTGTCAATACCAAGCTCCATTCCCTATAAACATGTACATTACAACCTTAGCATACTTACCAAAAATGTGAATATACCACTAAAATTTGTACAAGATTTCCAAATACCTGGAAAGTTTTTAGCCTCTGAACAGTTTCACCTGCAAGCCAATACACACCTAGAGAGTGTTCAAATCTAGAATGTACAGCTCCTGGGTATACCATGTTTGTCACTCCTGAACCATGTAAGAAATAAGATACATCACTCAAGAACTAGTAAAACTAAGCAAAACATTTCTTAAATATATACTCAAAATACTTTCTATATTCGGCCCTAGCAGAGATTCTTAAAATAAATGCTTTTTTTATTTATTTAGTATTAAAAACCCTAGCAAACGCACCAAGTTGCTTTAGTTCACGAAGCCTGCCACAAGGAATAAGAATAAAAATAATCATTACACTTTAGTCATCGAAAATATACCTTTTGAAATTAGCAAAATCCAACAACTACTTACCTTTGAAACTGCTCAGTGTCAATGAATTTTAAACAAAGCTGCATAACAAATTAAACACTGAGCTTTCACAGACTTATCAAATGGTTTAGAGAATTTGAAACTCAAGCCAAAATTGGAAAAACTCTAAATACAAAGAAGATAATCACATCGCAGAAAATCCGAACCACTTGGAAAGTGAGAAGAGAAAAAGGAAAAAACTAACAGGATCGAGATAGATGTTTCCATGAACATTGTCGTGAACATGTTTGTTGAACCGGAGTTCGTTCGTCGGGAAAGAACTCAGGTCTTCGTTGCCAAACACTCCCATCACTAGAAATTCCACGTCGCCTTTCTTTGTCAAGAAAACCTAATCCATATAATAATACTCACTTAAGATTTTCTTTCCTTTATTAAAACGAAGTCAATTTATTAAAGCAAACACTTCGAAACCACAATTAAAACCTACTTTTTGGTCCTCACTATTAAATGTTATTGGTAAGGAATCAATGTCTTTAATTCTCAGTTTGTTTCAAAATTTATGTTGTGTTTCTTCTTAATTCGATCTCGTTCTTAAATTGCTTCACACTTTTTACTATAGAAGGATCTAGAAGATCCATATGAGCAAAGAAGATATTATGAATATATATTGTAGAGATATGTATAAATCTTATATAATTCTATTAGTTAGCTAATTATTTTAATTCATTTCCTATGTAAGTGTATATGTCATGTACATTCATTCTAATGAGAGCAGTAATATATCCTTCCAATTCTATATCTCTAGGACCTCTCGAACAATTATCTTATATAACTAGGCCGTGTCTTAGTTAGAAAAAAAGAAACATTTGCTTAGGGCATCAAATTTTGGAAAGAAAAAAATGAGCGGCAAATATTTACTCTTCATAGAGTTATATAGATATGTAATATGTTCATATAGCGGCTTACGCTAAAAACAATGTATTCATAATAGAAAGCAAATATTGGGCTTCAACAATCCATTGACATGACCATATGGACTTAATTAATTAATTTAAAACACAAACTATTACTTTTTTTTTTTTTCGTCTAACTATTACTTAAAATGACTAAGGTGTTGAAGAGAAACTCGGGTAAGCGAATGTTATTAAAAATTAAGGTGTCAATTTTTTTTTATTAAATAGGGTATTAGATTTTCTGAAAACAATTGAAGATTGTTTTCTAAACTTATGGATCGCTTATCGAATGTTGTTGACGATTCCGGTTTGGTTGCATATATCTGCTGAAAAAAGTTTTTCAAATCTGAAGTTGATCAAATCGTATTTTCGTTCGAGTATGTCACAAGAAAGATTGAGTAACTTGGATATCTTATCCATTGGAAAAAAATTGGTTTTAAAAGTTGATTTTGAAAGTTAAGTTAACGATTTTGTGGAGAAAAAAAAAGAAGAAAAATGTTTTAGAACTATTTTTTTGTTTGTTAATTTAGTTTTTTTTTTTATTTGTTGTTGTTTTATGACGATGATATTTATTTTTGTAGATGACTTTTTTTATTGAACTGAGGCATTTTTTTTTAGTAGCTACTGATATCTCATAGTGTCGGCATGGCTCTGAATAGCCACCACAACTACAAGTCTTTTAGTAAGCTTTTAGAATTGCATAAACTTAAAATCCAAATTTGATCCTAACTATTGGTAAATAATCTAGTTTCTACAGTTTGTTAACCGTAGTAGGCAGTTGTTCCTCTCAAAGGGTCTCCAAGAGTCTTGTAGAATTGTTAGCTTGGTGTTTTGGCTCATTTTGTCGGGTTTAATGCTCTCTGTTTGTTCGGTTTTGAGATTCCTATCCTATCGTTGTCAAACTTTTTCTTCTCTCTTTTTTTTTGTTTTTATTGTTTCATATGAAATTATGCATGTTTGTCTCCATTGTTCCCCTGGATTTTGGAGTTTATTACATTATTCCATTTACCGTAATTTTCATTGGTTGTGCCTCACCACTGGGTAAATATGTTCCATTTTACCCCAAGAGAGTAAGAATAAGATACATGTAGCCAAAATCTTTAGTTTCACCACCACAAAAATCTTTTGTCGTCGATTTTGTGTTGCTGCTTTCCTTTTAATACGGCAGTTAACAAAAATCAGTGGCCAGACGGTGGCTAATTCTTGCGGAAACAAATTAAAAACACCAAAGAGCTTCATCTTCTTCTATCAGTCGTCGTAAGAGAAGATAATCTTCTTACCGCGGACTCCGCCCCTGATAGGTACCTCTTGTTCCTTCAGATTCGGTTTGGTCTCCAAATCATCTTCTTGTTCTTCTTCTTCTTCTTCATTTTCTTCATCTTCTTCTTCTTCTTCTTTTTCTTTTACTACTATCAAATGGCTTTCTACCTTCGACCTGGAATATCAAAAACCCTTGTCATCTCTCCATGAATACCAAAAACGTCGCCCAATGTGCTCTTGATAACAAAACTCAAAAGGCGAACAGTTAAATCCCTTACCAAAGCTTCTCTGCAAGGTTGTACCTAATTACCAAAAAGAATAACATTAATCTTCTGTAATGACATCAAAACTATAGCAATAAGCTAGAGAAACAAATCTCCATATAAAAAAACAATTTACTTGGGTCGGAGAGGGTATGGAGCTAGCTTAGCCTCGTCAAGAAAAATCTTAACACCATGCAAACGTGCACCATTCTTCTTTTTTTCCAGCGCCTACAATATAAGTAAAAACATTTAATCAGCAATCGCCGTACTTTCAAATAAATTCTTGTATATTTTTCAAATGACTACTCAAAGACATTTCATCATTGCTAAAAAACTACTCTCACCTTTTCTACTTGGTTAGCAGAAGCAAACTCAACAAAGCCACAGCGCACATGCTCGCCTCTGTGGTCTACAATAAGTCGAAAACGAACAACTTGTCCAACATCTTTGAAGAACTTGATGCTGTAAAAATGGAGGATATAATATCAGTCCTAGAAAACTTGCTCTGAGCTAGAACGAAAGAGAAAAATAAAGGTACGACTTACATATGTGATATTTTAGCTTTGAAAGGGATATTGTTAACAAATAGCGTCCTTTTTCTTGCGGCAACTTCCTGAATTTAAATCGCATAACAACACGCTAAGCATTTATTCTGAGCTTGACATATTATGATGATAATAAGAACAAATACCTCAATAAAATCAAGAATCCAATCAAATCCGTCTACTGCCTCATCTTCTTCAACCAGAAGGCTTTCTCGTCGAAGGTAGTCTTCATACCTGGAATATCAAAAACCCTAGTGATTTCTCCATGTATACCAAAAACTTCACCCAAGATGCTTTAGATAACAAACTCAAGAGGGCAAAAAGTTTGAATCCCTTACCAAACATTGTGATCTATGCAAAACCTAATTAACAAAAATAAAAGCGTTAGTCTTCTGTAATGGCATCAAAACTCTAGCAATAAGTAACAAACCATTACGCTTCTGTAATGGCATCAAAGCGTTAGTGTTACAGAAAATCAATTTACTCGGGTCGTAGAGGGTGTGGAGCTTTTTCAGCCACATCAAGAAAGATCTCATGACCATGCAAACGTTCACCATTCTTCTTTTCCAGTGCCTATAGTATAAAAGATTTAATCGGCAATCGTACTTTCAAATGACTACTTAAATACTTTTCATCATTACTATAAACTACTCTTACCTTCTCTGCTTCGTTAGCGGAAGCAAACTCAACAAAGCCATCGCCATCATGCTTGCCCGTGTAGTCTACAATAAGTCGGACATGAACAACTTCTCCAACATCTTTGAAGAAATTGATGCTGTAGAAATGAATAATAAAATATTAATCATGAAAACTTGTTCCTAGAACGAAAGAGGAAATTATAGGTTGCTACTTACATATGTGATATTTCAGTTTCGTGAGAGAGACTAGAAATAAAGAGCGTCTTTTTTGCTATGGCAACTGCCTGAATTTTAACAGCCAAGTGTGTTAGCACGACTCTAAGGAGAAAGGACTTAAATGCATAGCAACAAAAAGTATATTCATCCCAAGAATAAGTCATCTTTAGACTTTGTGGCAACAATTTTGTACCTCAACAAAGTCGGGAGTTTCATCAAGTCCTTCCACTGTCTCATCTTCCTGTATCACAATGTTTTGTCGACGAAGGTAATCTTCGTAACTAAAATATCAAAAAACCTAGTGATATCTCCATGTATACCAAAAACTTCACTGAATGTGCTTGATAACAAAACTCAGAAGGCAAATACTTAAATCCCTTACCAAAGCTTCTCTGCAAGGTTGTACCTAGTTACCGAAAACAATAGCGTTAGTCTTTTGTAATAATGGTATCAAAACTCTAGCAATAAGTTACAACCAGTGTTATAGAAACAAATCTCTAGAACATGGAAAATCAATTTACTTGGGTCGTGTAGGGTCTGGAGCTGTCTTAGCCACTTCAAGAAAAATCTGATGATCGTGCAAATATTCACCATTCTTCTTCTCCAGCGCCTAAAGTGTATAAAATATGTAATCAGCAACCGTAATTTCATACTTTTTAAATGACTACTTGGATACTTTTTTCATCATTACTATGAAACTAGTCTTACCGTCTTTGCTTGGTAAGCAGAAGCAAAGTCAACAAAGGCATAGCCCACATGCTTACCCTCGTGGTTTACAATAAGTCGAACACTAACAACTTCTCCAACATCTTTGAAGAAATACATGCTGTAAAAGTGGAGGACAAATATCAGTCATGGAAACTTGCTAGCTCCGAGAAGGAAAGTGCAAATTTAAAGTGCTACTTACATATCTGATATATTAGTTTGGGGAGAGAGATTCGCAACAAAGAGTACTTCCTGAAATTAACAGCCAAGTATGTTAGCACGACTCTAAGGAGAAAAAGACTTAAAATTGCATTAATAACAAAAAGTAGCCTCATCTGAAGATTCATCCTCTAAATAAGTCATCTTTCGACTTTGTGGCAATAGTTGTCTAATTAAACGCTGAGCTTGACATATTTTGAAGATAACAAGAAGAGGTACCTCAACAAAATCGGGAGGTGTCTCATTTTCTTCTATCGGAAGGCTTTCTCGTCGAAGGTAGTCTCTGCAGCTGAAAAAATAAAAAAAAACCTAGTGACCTCTTCATGTATACCAAAAACTTCACCCAATGTGCTCTTGATAACAAAACTCAGAAGGCAAACAGTAAGATCCCTTACCAAACCTTGTGATCTATGCAATACCTATAATCAACAAAAATAAAAGCGTTAGTCTTCTGTGATACTGTATCAAAACTCTAGCAATAAGTCACAGAAACAAATATCCATAAAATGGAAAATAAATTTACTTGGGTTGTGGAGCTCTCGTAGTGACTTTAAGAAAAATCTTACGATCATGCAAATATTCACCATTCTTCTTTTCCAGTGCCTACAGTATAAAAGATTTAATCGGCAATCATAAATACTTTTCATCATTACTATAAAACTAGTCTAACCTTGTTTGTTTCGGTAGCAGAAGCAAACTCAACAAAGCCATAGCTCCTATGAATACCTCGGGGATGTACAGCAAGTTGAACATGAACAACTTGTACAACATCTTTGAAGAAATCGATTCTGTAAAAGTGGAGGGTAAATATATATCAGTCATGCTCAGAGAAGGAAAGCGGAATTTAATGGTGATGCTACTTACATATCTGATATTATAGTTTGGGGAGCGAGATTGGCAATCAAGAGCGTATTTTTTAGTACGGCAGCTTCCTGAATTTTAACAGCCAAATATTTAATCTAACAAACAGTACAATGTTTAATCTTTTAAGAAAATCATACCTGATCGGACTTGTGCTGGAGACAATCATTAGCAAGTCCTTTGGTTGTCTCCTCCTTTTACATACATGAGAAGCCATTAGAAGACAATGATGTAAAGTAAATTCTTCTCAAAGAAGAAGAGGAATCTGATCATAATAGGGTTATTACCTTGTCCTTATGTTTCTTGAGAATGGGTTGCTTGGTCTCGAAATCATCTTCCGGATTTTGCTTACCTAAAAGAAGAGCAGCAAAAACCTCTTCAGCCAAGTAAATTGGTTATAAACAGTAAATAAGAGGTCAGAGCCACCCAAAACAAACCCAATAAATTGCTAGAACTGGCCATAGAGAAGATGAAAACAGGTTTAAAGGGGTTTATGTATTTTTCCAGGAAGAGTCCGTAGAGAGCAAGCAATAAGTTATAAATAAAATAACCCTAAGCTAATTTATTTATAGAAACAATAAAAAAAAGAGGAATCAGGTTTGGGCTGGGCTTTTTATTGGTTGGTGGGCTTATTATTTGCAGTATAACTTTTGTGTTTTCTTCTCTCGACAAAACAGTCACATACTGTACTTTTCAAGCAATTGAAACTTAGAGGATCAGTTTCATTACCTGGTAGTAATGGCTGGTATGATCCATGGACTCCCTTCACTGCCTTACCCGTGATAGGATTCGCTCACAACAACAGTGGAGCTCATCGGAGATGGTCCTTAGCCGACTTGACCTAGCAATCCGTAACAGGATTTCTGCCGCCCTTGAGAGCCGTTAGTTAACCCCCGATTAGGATTCTTCACCGGTGGTGCTTCTCTGGAAACCAACCACCTTCTTTTTAAAGTCGTTTTCGTTTGTAAAAAAGGCTGCTGATTCATGTTCATTTTAAACTCGGTTTTTATTTCATTTTTACTGTTACCAATAAGACCAAAAAGATCAAAGAAAAGTTAATGGGATTATAAACAATAGTTTAGGTTAAAAGTGCAAGAAAAGAATGAATCTAAGTCCTTTGTTGCAAACACTTATTTTAAAAGTACAACTCTCTCGTCTTCTTCCCCATTTGAGTCCATTGACCCAGAGAGACAGTGGAAGAAGAAGAGCTTACTTCATCACTTCCGCTGTCAAACAAAATTAAAATTAATTTAAAACCAAAAAATATCAACAAAAATGGAAGAATCAGAAAAAACTCAGAAATTTCACAAGGAGACGAAGAAGCAACAAGAGGAACAAAACCAGTCTTCTCAATCACGTTCACAAATCAACAATCTCAATCTCGAGATGTCTTCAAGATCATCACTTCATTCATTACCACAAACAACGATTGATTCACCACCTCCAGATTCACCAACCCTCTCTTCAATCCCCGATAGCCATGGATCTTCTCCTCACACGATTATTCCAACTCCTTCTGTTGTTTCCAAGACAGAGACTCCTTTTAGGGTTACGAACGGAGATTTCGTTGAAGACGAGAAGAAAGTCAGCGAGAGTAGGAGACAATTGAGACCGCCGAGCTTTTCTTCTACTCCGCGTGAATCGAAATGGGCAAGTTTTATTAGGAAAGCTTTGCTTGGATTTAGGGTTACTGCGTTTGTTTCGTGTCTTGTTTCCTTCTCTGTTATGGTTTCTGATAGAGATAAAGGATGGGCTCGTGATTCTTTCTACAATTACAAAGAGTTCAGGTTAAAGTTTCAATCTTTTCTTCTATGCTTCACTATTTACATTGAATTTGAAGTATCTGAAGATGTTTTGAAGGAGCATTAGCTTTATATAGTTCCTAGATTGATATGTTAAAGTTTCAAACTTTTCTTCTAGCTTCACTATACATATTTGATGTTCAAGTATCTGAAGATGGATCCTGTAGACTAGGTTTTTTTTTGTTTGCTAGATGACTTTGACTTGGTCTAAACATTATGTGGAACTTGAAGAATTTTCTTTTGAAATTTACTGTGGAAGTCTTTAGATTATGTAGTGACCTGTTCTAGCGTAATAGTAGTAGCTTAATCCTGTCATTTTTGAAGATGTTTTGGTAGGAGAATCAGCTTTGAATGGTTCTTAGATTGATATGTTAGTACCTCTAAGACTATGTTTAGGTTTGGTTTTCGTCTGAGCTCAAAGTCTTCTTTGGTAGATGACTTTGATTTGGGCTAATAATTGTGTGACATATAAAGTTTTTACCTGGGAACTAGCTGTGGAAATTGTTTAAACTAAAATGATGTTATCAACTGACCAAGAATATAAGACTTAGTTTAGGATTGATTTTCATCTGAGGTCAAATAGTTAGGGTTAGATGACTTTGATTTGTTTAAGTCATTGTGTGGAATTTGAAGCTTTCTCTTGAAATTAGCCATGGAGCTCGTTTAGCTAATGAAGTTATCTAATGACCTGTTCTTCTAAACTGCTAAACATTTCCTGTAAATGTTTTCGTGAGTTTGATTTATTTGTTTTTGGCATCTTTGGTTGCAGGTTCTGTTTGGCTGCAAATGTGATTGGTTTTGTCTACTCAGGTTTTATGATATGTGATCTTGTATACCTGTTATCTACTAGCATTCGGAGATCACGACATAACCTGCGACATTTCTTGGAATTTGGTCTTGATCAAGTATGTTCCTTCTGCCTCTCTGTGATTGAAACTCTGTTCTTTTATCTTAGCACAAATGGTAAAACTTGACGCGATAGAACTAACGAGAAGGTGAATCTCATTTGTCTTTTCTGAATACTGATTGACTTCATCCTCGTCAAATCGATCCTCTTGTGTCAGTCTCATTATCTGTTTTGTTTCAAAATGCTTCGCTTCACGCTAAATTACTTTCCTGGTGTTACCTTACCGAATATTTTCCCTTTCAAAAGAAATTAACCAAAGATACCATAATTTTCAAAGAAGTAAACATCTCAAAATGCTTGAAGTCTTAAATTACAGAGCCAAATATGTGATTGGTAATGAAATCATTCATTATTTGAGCTAATTTAGTGCTCCATCATGTGATTGGTTGTGAAATCATTATCATCTCTGTTTGATCACATGTCATTGATGTTACCACTCAAGTGATCCATCATAGTTTAGTGCGGCTAGGCTTATAGTCACTTGCATTCGAATTCAACTCAATTCCCGCTAAAATGATTTTGGATGTTGCAGATGCTAGCTTATCTTCTTGCATCGGCTTCGACTTCAGCTTCAATCCGCGTAGACGATTGGCAATCAAACTGGGGAGCAGACAAGTTCCCAGACTTAGCTAGAGCATCTGTCTCACTGTCTTACGTCTCCTTTGTCGCATTCGCCTTCTGCTCATTGGCTTCCGGTTATGCTCTTTGTGCACTCCGGTCCATTTAAACCAAACAAGCGCAAGCTCGAGACAAACAGTCTCATTTTGTTGACTCTCCAAGTTGTATCCTTGACCCTAGCTAAACGGGTCCAGTTTCTGATTTTTAAAAGAAACTTTTATTTTATATGGTGAACAATATTCCATCTTGTAAAAAGATGGTGTGGTTGCTCGTTTATACATTTCACTTATCTATTTCACTTTTTATTATAGTTCTACGAAAAGCTATATGATGCATGAGTGAATATGTAACTAGTTACATGTAACTATTCGAATATGTAACTAGTTACATGTAACTATTCGATTTTGAATTATACTATACTAAATATATCTTTGCATTTTATTTTCGGAGATGATCAAGCACCATCAGTATAACTTTCTTTTTCAAGCATTCGAGTCCAAGCACCAGCAGTAATAGTCTGAACGTGAAAGGTCGAGCAACTCCTCTGGAGACATCCTCTCTAGTTCATTCTGCCTCCACGCCGCAAAGTTATTGCGGTTCTGCGTGTCCGAGGCCACCGGATAGGCCTCGGCCCTGTGTTTCTGATATCGCATTCTTGTGTATAGCCTCATTGTCGCGAGGCAGTCCTCATATGGATCTTGTATTCCCACATGAATATCATACCTTCACAAAGTTAAGGAAGATGAAAATTAGTAAATCTATAAGAGCAGTCATTGTTTAAGATTTTTGTAAAATAGAAATCATAATTGTAAATTCTGAACTCTAATCTGAAACAAACTTAACATTATGACCTGTTAAACTAATCCCTTAATTTTGTTTTTTCGTCGAACTAAACCCTTAATTATAATTTATAAATGCTCGTTTTAACCTTTAAAAACGAAATAATTGACACTAACGTAAACATAATACTCCCTCCGTATTTTAATAAGTGTCGTTTTAGAATTTTTATTTTTTTGAATTAGATGTCGTTTTCAAATTTCTATGCAAAATTTATTACTTTTTAATGTTTTATAACGTCATAAAACATTAAAAAGTAATAAATTTTGCATAAAAATTTGAAAACGACATCTAATTCAAAAATATAAAAATTCTAAAACGACACTTATTAAAATACGGAAGGAGTAGCTTATTTCTTTAGTTTGAAAGATTCGACGATTTTTCATTGAGATTTAATTATTTTTCCCCCCAACAATCTGAGTTAAAGATTTCTATTTCTTAGATTATGAAAGTATTTTAGGAAAACCTTATAGATAGGAGGGGAACAAATTAGACATACGAAACTTTTGGTTATGAATCAATAATATAAAATATGAGGTAGAGAGTAGAGACAGACAAATCGAACTTTGATATGGATCAGACGAGATATTCCTAGGATTATCATCGGTTGATTTTATTCGAATTTTTAAGTAACTTTTTAAGCTAATAAGCATAAAGCATGTCGTACTTTATACAGTGATTAATAACTTTTAATCATGTCAAAAGTCGGATACCTTCTTTACTAGCTTATAGTTGTTGCGTCCGAATATCACACACGATTTGTTTTTTTGAAAAGTGTATATATGCATGGTTTAGTAGATGAACTATTTGTTTTCAAGTTGAATATTTTCTAAATTATCATGGAACATTTAAAAGTATGACCAATAGATTTTCAATAATTTATTATATCCAATAATGAATGTCATCAATTTGTAAACTATATATGGAAATGTAATAAAAATATTACCCGAGATAGGCTTGGGTTAAGTACTTGAGAGAGTTACGTAGCTTGCTTGATTTCATCAATGGAGGGTATTCCGCAGTATCTCTATTAACAACAAAAAATAATTGTTATAAATTGTATAAAATTCCCATTATTATACATATGAATTGTTTATAAAACAGCGGTTAGTAAACACAAAATTTTCTTTTTATCTTGATTTACAATATTTTTTAATAATGATTATGTATTGTGATCATCTATATGAAATTCACTATAGCAAAAATGTAGTGCATTAAATTTTAGAAATGAATTATTTACCTTATAACACGAAAGAATGATAGTCAAGTTGAAGATGGTCAATATCTTTTTTTCTTTTCTTTTTTGAGAAAGGGTTAAAACGGTCAATATCTTTCTTATTACATATTTTTTTAGTTCACTTTTAAGTTTTATTTATGATCATAGATTATGGACTAAGAACCAAACATTACATAGCTTAAAAAAGTAGTGTTTCTAGTAAAAGTATTTATTTACCTTATCATGGAGGAAGAATATTCAAGTTGAAGAGAGTCAAGATGGTTATCAAGTCCATGTCCGACGAGAATCCTTGCTTTCCCATTTCTTGGACGAATCTTCCACATTGGTTCTCCATTACAAAGAAACTCTTGAATCTTTCTCTGTGCGTGCTTCAATGGCATTGCGTCCCTTAGATTCTCAGGTCGTATCCCTGTCGTCTCATACCTATAATTCGTTACAGGTATCGTTGGCTTCACATACGTGTGGAATAAAATGTTTTCGTTCTCATCCGTAATGCAAACCCTTCCGCATAGGTCAAGTGATCCGTCACTGCCTCCTCCAACCATCTTGCATGAGAGTGCGACCACTCGAGGTGACCTTGAAGACATGTAGTCGATTGTAGGGTTGTCTCTTAGGCCTAAGGCCGCCATACGAGTCACTAATCCCTAAAATATCAGTAAAAAGATTAGATTGTCTATATGCATTTACGTTTAATAGTAATGCCTTTTTCTTAAACAAGACGTTTTAGTGTTTTGATAAAGATTTTTATGTAAGAAGAGTTCGTTTACAATTTCAAAACATTTTTACTCAAAACATATTTTAAAAAGAATTTTGAAATATTACTTTCACATGTAAGCACAATTTACGCTGAGTAAACACAAACACAAATTTGATTTTAGCTAGGTTTGAATGAATTAAGACATGTATACTATAGTTATTTCATATATGGGAAGATTATTATTACAGAATTGACGTTTGAGAGCTGGCATCTCTCTTGATGGATCCTACGAGCGTTGGGGCTTTCGAGGATGGTAAGACAGAATCTGCAGCCGCAGATGCTGAAAATGTTCTTACATTCTTGTTTCGGCAATGGCCCTACATACGATATAATCCAAAATGAAATGAGAAAAAAAGAAGTGAAAGACAAGCTATAAACTAGAGGGTAGCTAGAGATCAGGCCCGGAGATACCAATGAGATGTTCACGGAGGGAGTCAAAAGATCGGCAATGTTTGTTGCAAATACCACAAGTAGGTTCATGAACCGAATGATAAGAGATCCTCATGTGTTCCACCAAGTGCTCCTTTTTGTTGAATTGCCTATAACACCCTCCACACTTGTTCCTGCATGTATCCCATATGTTTTTAATCATCATTTCTTTCATAATTAGACTTAACATTTTACGTATGATTTCTCACTAAATTATTAATTTACAAATTTTACTAGTTAAGAATTGATTATGTATTGTTCATGTTCCAAAGAGTCTTATATATGCATACATACAATAATATCATTAGATGTCGATGGTACGTAAATAAAACTTATTTAGAGCAATAGTGATATAATTATATCAAAAGAAACAAAATATTTGCAATAATATAAATACCTTAGGGTTTCTGAGGACTCCATTGACAATCTGTAGTCCATAGTATAAATAACAGTAACCTCAAATATTTTGAGTTAGGAGAATTTGATTAAACAGGTTTATTCTCTCTTTTTTTTTTTTTTAATGTCGATCTGTATGAGATTTGAGAATATATGAGAGTGCATGTGTGCTTATATAGGCAAATCATGGGGCATAAAAGAACCAAAAAACAAAAATAAAGGCGAAGTTAGATGATTCCCTAAGTATTCTAACATAGACCACTTTTGAGGTTTTTAGGGTTTAAAATAAATAAAAAAAGGAGATGCCTTTCTCTGGTGTGTTTCCAATCTCGTCTATATAAGATCCAGATACGAAGACAGTTCGAAACTTCGAACCGTACGTTATTGAGCTTCGTTGGGCATTAAGCGCTTAGCTATTTCTAAAACTACTTCAACTTTTTAGGTACCTAAAGATATACACTCATGTTGGTGTAATTTTATGAAACTTTTCCTATAAAAAGAGATCGACAAGATGATTTTACTCAAGTTGCATTCCATATGATACAATATCTATAAGTTCAAATAAGAAAATTTCTTACCTTAGTCTATGGAAAAGCTTAAAATTTTGCATGAGCATATTATTCAAATTTGTCTAAATAATATTATCTATTATTCTAATTCAAATCCAATTTAACTATAATAGAGTAGTCCCTATGTCCCAATATATATGATGTTTTAAGCTTTTGATTTTGTTCCATTTTATTAGATTTTCTCTAATTTCTAGGCATAATTTATATTAATTTAATAGTTAATGATTATTTAAATTATGCAGTACTTTTTGTATTGGTTGAATTAAATGATAAAATTTTTTATTGTTTCTTAATTTTTGTGCTTTTAACCAAAATATCTAATAACAGAGAACATAGAATGTATAGTTTTTTCTCTTTTCATGTGTTAAGAGCACTGAAAAAGAAACTGACAATACTTTGTTCAAAAAAAAAAAAAGAAACTTACAATACAATCTTAATATTCATGGCTCATGCAAATTTACTTAATTATGTATGCTGAAGATAATGGTTGGTATAATCTTTTTGTGTTTCAAGTTTTGCGTTTAGCGTTTAGAGTTTAGCGTGGATTGGACACTTTATTCTCATTGCTCTAAACATACTCATTCAGTCATTTGTATGTCATTTACGTTGTAATATCACAGTTGCCATTAAGATTCATTTTCATATAGTGAATCAGAGTACTACTATATTAAATGTTATCATGGTTTCAAAATTCGAAAATTTTCAACATTCTTCTAAGAGATACACTTGGGGTTTGACTTTTCTAAGTCTTACAATCCAAGCAGAAAGATTATCCTTTGACCGATATGTGGGGGGCCAAGTCAAGATTCTATACATGTTTGTATTTCTGCTCCAAAAATATTTTGGATTTTGTAACAAATTCCTTCAAAAAGGAGAAATATTCATGAACATAAAAAAAACGAGAATGTAAATGGTCCACTGTGGTATAACACCAACTCACCAAGTATATGCACTCAAAACTTTTTCTATTTCTATGGTCAAACAAAAACTTTGAACACAATTATAATATATTTTAATTTAGATATTACTCACAATTGCTTTATTGTGTCTCACACAAAGAAATAAAAAATATGAAAGATATTTTTATTCTAGTAAACATATACTTATGTGGGAAAATTTTATTTCTGTACAATTACTAAATTATTTTCATTTAGCTTCTTAAATAGTTTAAAAATCGGTACGCAAACTTTCACATCTAGAAGCTACAACTCTTTGCGCCAATAAATGGTAGATAAATCTTTTAGAGTGCACATTATATTTCATTTGTTAGCATACTAGATCGTGTGGACAAATCTTTTTGTTTCATAGTTTAACCCAGTTGCTGTATAGTATGAGCCCGAATTAGACTCATATCCTACCAAAACAAAACCTAGCTCACTTAACCGAAATGAGCTTCGGTTTATAATTATCTGCATCATCTAATCAAATCTTATAAGAAAGAAAATTTGGGGCAGTCTCCATAACACTTTTTTTTATTGACATGAATATTTCCGAATGACAATGTTCAATTTCAAATATATTATAGCATAAATTGAGATGCTAAATTAATTTGAAAGTTCTTTTATTCGTAGTTTAAGCTTTCAGAGATTTAGAGACTGTGTAAATGAATCATATCGAATATGTATTTACTTTTAATTCACACCGAGAATCCAAATAAGAACGAACTGATCATAGATTCATAAGACTAATTAACATGAAGATACCATGGGACAGTCAAACCTCTTCTAAACCACTATTTAAAGTAAATGTGCTTAGAGAATAACATGGACATCATGGGATTGTCCTCTTCTGCTTTCGTCTGCGAAATGGAATCAAAGGACAGATTTAAATTGCAAATTAAAAAACAAAAAGAAGAAATGATTGAAACTTTAGAAAAATCTAGAAAAAGATAAAATGATGCCTCTTTGACCAAAGAAACATCAAGCTTTTTAGTTGTAACCAATTGGAAATTTCTCCTTCAAAGAAACTTTGAATTTTTATCTTTGTACAATACTCCCTCCGTTTCGTTTTAGTTGTCGTTTAAGGTTTTTTCACACAAATTAAGAAAAGCATTAAATTTTCTGTTTTACCCTTTATTAATACATTTTATAAAAAAATTCATTGGCCAAAACATTAAAACAGTAGGGATAAAACCGGAATTTTCACCAAACATTTGCATTGAAAACCTAAAACGACAACTATTATGAAACAAAATTTAAATCCTAAAACGACAACTAAACTGAAACGGAAGGAGTATTTGGTAACAACTTCTGATTCCGGTAAAATGGGATTGCTTTTTTTCACTTTGTTTACCAAACGAAAGTATCTAGATAAACAATTATGTAGTTTTATTAAGATTAATCTTTTTTTAGTGTTATTTGAAGAGTCAAAAAAGTACTTATGAAAAAGTTAAGAATGCAAATAATACAGAAGAAATAAATAATAATGCGGCAATCCAATACGATTTACTCCCTCCGTTTTAAATTAGTTGTCGTTTTAGCACTTAAATTTTGTTTTATAATAATCGTTTTAGATTATCAATGTAGATGTCTGGTAAAACTTCCAATTTTATCCTCAATGTTTTAATGTCTTACCAATAAAAAAATTAAAGAATATATTGAACAAGGGTAAACTAGAAAATTTAATTATTTTCTTAATCTTTGTGCAAAAACCTTAAACGACAAGTAATATAAAAAAGAGAGAGTATAAAACATATATTATTTGAATATTATTAAAAAGTTTAGATTTTCAAACCATTTGCCTTTTTTTAATAAATAAAAAAACAAGCACTATTTATTGAAGTATGGATTTTCTTAGCTATCTTCTCAAAAAGAATTAATTATTAATTTACAAGCACACTTACCAAATTTTTGTAGCTCTACAAGCACTGTAACCCAAATATTCGAATCTTAAATGCATAAGATTAGGGGACATATAACCTCAAAAAACGAAAAAAGATTCATGTAAAAAACTAATTCCTTAACGGCTATATTGTTTTCTTCTTCTTCCATTTTTTTCTTTCCCAATTCATATATCCAACGACAACAAAAACAACTTGAAAGAATTAGTTCGTCAAATTCACAAAAATGGTCCTTGTTGAGGAGCTCTCTGACTTATCATCACCTACATATGAAGCATATTCCTATGATGATGATGATGATGATGATGGATCATTAACCCCATCCATGGTGTTTGACCAGATCATGGGACCTTCTCTCATTCTTCCATTTCACGAACATCCTTTACACAGCCACTATAGCAGCACTGGTCAATGCGACGGATGCCCTGAACTTCGAGAAAACGGTCTTGATGGCTACAACTGCGATACTTGCGGCTTCACGGTCCACAAAGAATGTGCTGAGTCATCACCAGAGATTAACCATCCTTCTCACCAGAGACATCCTCTCACGCTCCTAACACATGGCTTACCACAAGAAGCTGAAGATGATAAATGTCGTCTATGTGGAGAAAAGGTCGGAAAATTAGTATATCATTGTTCCATATGTGACTTTAGTTTGGATCTTTATTGTGCTCGAAACCCGCTTTCGTTAGTTGTTTACTTCCGGAAATGTCATGAACATACACTCACTCTCATGCCAAGGTTAATACACTTCACTTGTAATGCATGTGGTCTTGAATCCGATCGATCTCCTTACGTTTGTCCTCAATGTGATTTTATGATCCATGAAGGTTGTATCGACTTACCACGCGTCATTAGCATTATACGTCATGAACATCGTATCTCTCGCACTTATTTTCTTGGTTCTGGAGATTGGAAATGCGGAGTTTGTAGAAGAAGAATTGACGGGAGATACGGAGCATACTCTTGCTCGATTTGTTCGGATTATGCAGTTCATTCTAGATGTGCCACAAGGAGGGATGTGTGGGATGGGCGAGAACTTGAGGACGAGCCTGAAGAAATAGAAGAATGTGAAGAACCATATAGGATTGTGAGTGATGGAGTAATAAATCACTTTAGTCATCGAGAGCATGATCTAAGACTTGAGGATGGTCTTACTAATATCCGTGATGAAAATATTCGATGCAGAGCATGTGTCCGTCCTGTCTACTCTAACACATTCTATAGTTGTATGCAATGTGATGATTTCATTCTCCACGAAACGTGTGCTAACCTTCCTCGAAAAAAGCGACATGTACTACACAATCATCAACTTACTCTATACCCTGATGACAACATAGTCATGGATTTTCCGATGCTTCGTGGAGTTTTCTTATGCTCTGCATGTCGCCGGCTCTGTAGTGGTTTCAGGTATGAATGTTGCAATATCAAATTAGATGTACGATGCGGTTCTATATCTGAACCATTTTTCCACGAGTGTCACCCGCATCCTTTGTTCCAGACATCACTAGATAGCAAGGTATGTGTGACTTGCAAGCAAGAGTCGGATTATGTTTTCACTTGTATAGATTGCGATTTTGTTTTGGATTTCAAGTGTGCTACTTTACCACCTACAGTAAGGTATAAATACGATAGACATCCTCTTAAACTATGCTACGATGGAGACAAGGACATCACCGGTAGTTATTGGTGCGAGATATGTGAGAGAAAAATGGATCAAAAGATAATATTTTACACTTGCGAAAGCTCTGGTCCGACTACTCATATCGAGTGTGTACTGGGAGATTTCAGGTATGTGAAGCCTCGACTACATTTTGAGTTCAATAAAAAGAAATGGGAAGTGGCTTTGAATGGTATTAATCGACCAGGATGCTACAAGTGTGGCTTTCGTTGCAAGGGACCATTTGTGGTAGTGAGCGTAGACTATGATAATAGTTATGTTTGTTCTCTTTTATGTTTATGGAAAGGAGAAACTCTCGTGTACGATAGTATAAGAGATTGAATTGTATTATCTATATATGATCCTTCTTTTTAACATATTATTACATCATCAGTTGGTATCAGAATCAGAGTATACAAAAGTTGAAATACATGTGACTATGTCAGAATTACAT